CTTCAAGCTTCCCTCTCGGTCCAGCCGAAAACCTCTTCTTCCCTTCGTTCCCTTCACCAGCCACGCTCGGACCGCTCGGAGCTGCCAGATTTCCAGGTGCCGGTCGGGATGTCATTCTCTCCGGTCAGGAGCTAGTGGGCTGGCGTGGCGGGGTACGGCAGCTGGTGGTGCCAAACGATTCTCTGACCTGGCATGATGAGTGCCATTGGTAGGTAGCACGAGCTTTTCCAAACAGGTTGTATCCGAAAGATCCATGTTTTGGGCATGCATTGGAGAGAAGCGCTCCCGTGACAATCCTGCGGCTCGCTTCATCGAGCGGGTCAATCATCTCCTCACGAACAGGTCAACCAAGACTTGTATATAAACTTCATCTGCATCTTTCATCTACTTTCTAGCAGCGGTAGCGCTGCAGAAGAGGTGTTCAACACGAAATAGTTTGGGGAAACCAAACCGCAGCGCGCCTAAGCACCAGCGTTGGTGGAAGCAAGTGACGAGTATGCACCCGACTCGTCTCAGAAGCGACACGGCCCGTATTAGGCAGAGCTGAAGTTATAGGCTTTAAGCAATCGTAGACCGGTCTTGACCACCGCTTCGGTGCTCCGCTTCTCCGCGTGGCTCAAGACGGTGGAAGGGACGTGGCTCAAGACGGTCTACCTGCGGATTCGAGGGGATCCGGGCGGAATATGGAGGTGGGCGAATGGAAACTCCTAGAGCCGAAGGGAGAGGCCATCAAGGGGCACCATAAGCATTCGGCGGTGATTTGGCGAGATCACATGTATGTCTTTGGTGGCTATGCAGGTGGTGTCCAGTCATGTGAGACGTGGAGTTTCAACCTCAAAGATCCAGAGTGGAAGCTGCTAAGCACTGAGGATGGACCTCCCCAAGCGCGCAGTGAACACAGTGCCATTGTTTGGGAGGATAAGATGATCATATATGGAGGCCTTGGTGACCAAGGTGGAAGGTTAAACACATGGAATGACACCTGGGCATTGGATTTGCAAAGGCGAAAGTGGGAGTTGTTCAGCGCAAACGGAGAACTGAAGCAGCGGTGGTGCCACCCTGCTGTTCTGTGGAACGACCACATGATTGTATGCGGTGGTTTCGAGGGAGGGTATTTATGCGACGCTTGGAGCTTCAGCTGGAGACGCAAAGAGTGGACCATGCTCACTGCTTCCATCCCTCCAGGTAGGCTTCAGCGCCACTCTGCTGTGCTTTGGCATGACCAAATGCTGGTGTTTGGTGGCGAATCGATAGACGGGAAGCAAAACAAGAGCTGGATGTGCAACCTGAAGTCCAAAGAATGGACACCGCTAAGCTTCAAGGACCTTCCGCCAGGACGCAATTCACATTCTGCTGTTGTGTACGGGGATCACATGATTGTCTTCAGTGGTGCCTTTGGTGCTCCTAACCTCAATGACACTTGGAGTCTTGACCTTGCAAGCAAAAAATGGAAGTTGCATAACCCCAAGGGCAAGCTGCCAGAGGCACGCTTTGGACATTCAGCCGTTCTATGGGGCAATCAGATGGTGGTGTATGGCGGTCGGGCTGGGTCCGACACCAGCCGCGAGATCTGGTCACTAAGCCTTACGTTGCCTCCGACAGCCCCAACGCCGCCGCTGGCCCTGGCGACGCCGCGCTCCGGGCGGCTTTGGCTGGACCCTTTGGTGCCGACGCCGCGGCAGGATCCAGAAGTCCTGGCGACGGTCCGTGTGATCACCGGCCCAGCCTTGGTGGAGGCCTGCCAGGCGATGGCTGCGCTGCCAGGCAATGCTCAGGTGAGAAGGTGTGAAAGATGGTGTAAAAGTAAATGGATTTCATGACAAAGTCAGCTGTTTTCACCTGACGTGGTGCCCAACCTTTTGATCTTGTTCAAGAGTTTTGGCTAGTAGTTTTGTCGATGTTTAGCTTCACACCTTGGCTGAGGTCCAGAAGTGGGGGTGTTTGACTTTGAGCCTGTGTGCTGGATTTGAGAGTGCAGCTGCTGAGGCGAAAGCTCCCAAGTTGATCATAGCAGCAATGAAGGCACATGTTGAGAACGCGCAGATCCAAGACTGGGGCAGCCAGGCTCTTGCGGCCTTCTGTGCCTTTGCCACAAGTTCTTCAGAGCTCATATCTCTAAACGCTCAAGTTTAAAGGGCAGCTTTTTCCAAGCACCTTCGAGGTGTTGAGCGGTTATCGATTACGCATCCCTTCTGGGTCATCTCAGAGACGTGTAGGTAGGCGAGCAGCACATGTTTTTTTATTGTCAGTTGTTTGCAGCTTCCTTCTCCGGCAGCTTGCAGGTGCTGGAGCAGATCCCGAGAGCTGTGGTCGTAAGGAGCAGGCCATTGCTGAAGGTGCGCTGGAGGTACTGGTAGCGGCATCGAAGCAGGCAACTCGACCAGCAGGAATTCTTACACTCCCAAAGACTAACATCGACCCAGAGAATGGCACCGTGAAAGGCATTTATCCTCTACAAACCAGTGGTTTTCAGAGCTCATAATGGGTCCTTCGACAACCTCCTTCTACAGGTTTGACGTCAGGAAAGGCTCGATTTTCCCATAAACACTGGCCCCCTCAGCCCTCCACCTATGTCTTGACTTGGCCAGAGCTTTGGCAATTCAACTTCTGAGACCTGCCGAGGCCAAGACCAAGCGACAAGCCATCGGGGCGCTGGGGAACCTCTGCTCTGGAGAAGATGCTGGACGTGCTCAGCGCGTGAAGCAGTCGATAGATGCTCAAGTGCCGAAGGTTTTGAAAGACGCACTCAAAGATGACGACAGCTCGAGGACAGTGGGGAAATCTGCCCCCCCCTCCGACCTACTCCATCAGGATGACAACAGCTCGAACGGATATGTTGGGAAACTGGGTCCAGGTCGATGGCTCCTACCTGATATTACCGTCGTTTGGATAAACTGATCTAACTCGCGAAGACCTCAACTATATAAGACTACATATGTCAAAGCATGGTGGCCGAGGAAGATGAAAACACCAAGTGAAGCCTTCGCCTTTGCCCTCTGCGGGTTTGTACTTAGTTGCATAGAGAAAAAGATCCGGGTCGGGGGGGGGGGCAGGACAATCCGGAAGGTCTTTGGTGCACTGGCAGAGCTGGGCAAGGTGGCCCCGGACCAGGTGTCCTCAGAGATTCTGGAACTCGTTGCCCGGCAGAATTTGTTGGGAGCTTGGGGCTTTTGGATGATAATCCGGTGGCTCACATGAACATCTGAGTGAACGTGGAACTATTGAAGTGGGTGGTTTTCAATAGCGGGAGGCGGGAGGTGATAGTGCTGAATTGAGACGGTTTCAGGCTCCATACTTTGGGTTTTCCGCCCGAATTGCAGCTTAAAAAGCCATCAGCACTATAGAGGTTAGAGGCCCCAAGTTATCTATGGAACAAAACAATTTCTGACTCTAACCAACCGGTAGTCGGAAGTTGTTCCCTAGCTGGGCAAAGCTTGCTTGCAGATGAGGGAGTTTCGTTCGACTGCTCCTTCCAGTTGCTCTTCAGTGTGAGATCGTCCCACGTCCGAGGTGGAGAGGGCTTTGGATGCCAATGCCGGGAACCAGGACATCCAACGCCTGGGGGAACGCATCCAGCAAGCAGCTCCGCAGCGGGAGTGCTCCAAAGACCAGCCCACCTACTGGTCGGGCCACATCGGTGATGAGGGCTGGGCAGCTTGCCCTGTGACAGGTGAAACCTTGAGCGCTCTCAGGAGCAGTGAGGGTGAAATGTATATGCAAGGTGTGGGTTTCATTTTGCATCTAGAAGTGCCACTATAAATAGATTGACCATGCCCGGTTTGACCCGAAGTATTAATAGCAACACTTGCTCGTTCGTGCTGCGCCACCGCCGAACTTGTTCAGGACGATGTTCGTCGTGAACCATCCGGCCGAGCTGGGCAGGGGTCGAGATGCCGACAGCTACCCCCGGAAGTACAACGACCTGCGCGTCCACTGCGCCTGGCGGATTGAGCATGAGGATGGTTGGGACTCGTTTGCCCTCGAGCGGTCCAAGGTGCAAAAGACCATGAAACGACTTCGTCAGCAAGGGGTGCCGGTTCAACGATGGCAAAGTAAGCTTGAAGAAGCTTGCCGAAGCAGTACTGTAGTGTTTTTCCATTATGTTTGCGCCAGTTTCGGTCAGTTGTGTACATTGAAATTGTCTGGAAAAAACCGCCTGCGCATGTTCACGAAGATGAAGCCCATTCTTTCTCCAAAGCCGTGAGGAAGCATCGAAGAGTTTGCCGGGATCCACATACCTCCGCGAAACTGGAGAGAGGTTTTTGCTTCATGGGTGCAGCCCAGAAGTTGTGCTTGGCATTCTCCACAGCGGCTTCGATGACAAAGTCACCAAGAAGGGAATGTTCGGTGCAGGTTGCTACTTTGCCGAGGACCCCGAGAAAGCCGACCAGTATGCTCGTCCTGATCCACATCATAAGGCATCTGGGCTTGAAGAACTTCACGCCCGTTTGTACAATGGTGAGAATACGCATCCCGAAGGGGATGTGTTTTATTGTTTCGCCGTGCGAGTCGTGTGCGGTGCCTGCGTTCAAACCAAAGGTTTGGACAAAAGCCGCCCGACGAAAGACGCCCTTAGTGGGGAAGAGATTTTCTTCAACGCAGACCTAAAGCAGCTGGTTGAGATTCCTGGCACCACGCCACCTGAAAGGTACCACACCCTGGTGGTGAATCCCACGTCGGAATCCACTGGACGCTCTGTGTACAGAAATCGCGAGGTCATCTCCTTTAAGGGAGCAATGACATACGCCGAGTACTTGATAGCATTTACTAGGGAATTGACTTGATGCCTCACTCTGAGCGCATCTATGTTGCATCATTTCACGCTTCTGGGGTGTAGCATAGCAGAAAAATTGTTTTGGGAATGAACTCAGATATGTAGATGGCCAGTCCGCAGCTACGACGTAGTCACTACGCCTGGCATTTGGCCATGCAATTCTGCTGATCCTTTGTTGACCTCACCCCAGAAGAGCACAAAGATGCTAAGAAGGCCGAAACACCTGCCCGCAGGGCGAAGTGAAGCAAAGGTGTCCAAGGACATGTCAGATCTAGTGTCCAAGATGCGAGCATCAGCCTAGTAGAGGAACGGATGGTCTTCGCAAGCTGTCCAACAACAACTGACTGGACTTGTGCATTCGTGGCCGCCCACGCCGGCCCACGCCTTACGCCAACGTCGGTTCTCTTGAAGTGCACCGAGGTCGACCTGAAGCCCAGTTCGGCCTTTCCCTGCCACTGCACGGCAGGAGGGTGGACGGGATGAGAATCCGGCTGAAAGAGAAGTTGAAACGTGCGGAAAATGAGGTGGGGCGGAAGGTCATGTGAGTTGATGCTCCAAAGCAATCGTCCAACAGGTTCAAGGTCGGTAGACATGGGGTCAGTATCGTAGGATGTGTAGGTCATGTAGATTTTGCCATCCGAATTGTATAGATTGCATCTCCAGCACCTCCAAGAGCCTTGAAGCTGCAGATTCTTCTCGGTGGTTGGTGCGGGAAGTCATTGAAGTGGAACAGCACGACTTCAGAGATGTCCCAAACCGAACTGAGCAAGGAGAGATGTTTTCTAGCTTCTCTCTATACTTTGTTTGCTTGTCTCAGCTGGAAGGGTCAATCCACTGTGCCAGAAGAGGGGCCTCCGTTGTAAAGCAACGCTTCTTAACGCACTTTCACTTATGTCAGGCTTCCATGCAGATGACCGTCACCATTGGGTTTGTTTTGTGTGCTACACAAGATGACCTCCTAGAAGGCCATTGGCCTACCTTTGCTCTTTGATTGACTCCTTCTTCTTCTCCTTCTTCTTCTTCGTCTAGCATGCAGGCCTTTGCGGCGGCTGAGCTGCGCATGGGTGGGTGGCAACTGTGTTTCGTGAGGAAAATGGTGCGGTTGGGCGTGGCCGGGTTTTCTTGGAGCTTGGCTCACAGACTGAGTGACTATCCCTTCACCTAAGAGACCTAACAGTACCAGTCTCCCTTTACAATACTCTACATGCCCAAGTGGCCCCCCTGCAAGTAAGCGAGACATCAATTTCCAGACAGAGGGCCGTGGTCTCTTTTTGCCCAGTGGAGATCTGGTTTTGCAGCTGCTATGTGCATGTGGAAGTGTTTTGGGGCTTCATGGTCTGCCAGTGTACTGGTTGAAAGGAGAGAACAAAAGGTGAAACCCCTAAGGTTATGACCATCTACCCTTCGCCTCTGACCTCTTGAGACCTTGATTCTTCCTTTCAGCCTGCTCTGTGTCTTTTCCTCTTCAGCCGGTGCCGTTTTTTCGGGATCGATGGATCCCCTCCGGCCCTTCGCTCGCTCTGCGGTTCAAGGAGCCGGTGAGGTGAAACCGCCTTACGCAGCCACCGCGGTCCGCGGTGGAGCGGAACCTCTCTCCTCTCCTTCCGACCGTCGGCGCGCGCGCGCGGCAAACCGTCCGGACTGGGAGGATGGCAGGTGGTTCAGCATGAAAGGACTGGAAGAAAAGGGCAGTGGGTGGGGCAGATTTCGGGGAGTAGACGACCTATTTCATGGCAGAAGGCTGTTGACATCGGTTTCCTTTCTGCAGCCATGGGGTGGAGATAGTTTTTTGGAGGACCCTGTGTGGTTTGCAGGCCTAGTGATCTTTAGTTGGGTAGCTGGGTGGTACTGTGCGTGGAGAAGAGCCAACTTCATGGGCTGGTGTCTCGACAAACGCAGGTGTTGCGTTCTGTAGGTTGGGGGGGTGTCGACTGGCACTTTTGGAGGAAAAAACTTTTGCACTTCCTTCAGGGCTTTTCTCAAAGCTTTCGGCTTCAAGCCTCCATTGAACGGACACGCGTCCCAACAGTGTCGTTTTTATTCATTTGCGCTTCTGTGACTCACTCCAACGGATGTAAATACAATGCAAAATGCATCCAAATGCGCGCGCAGGACATCGAAGAACCTCATTTTTATCACAGGTCTTCCAATCTAGCAATGTGTGCATTGAGCTCGCAGGAGGTGCGCATTTGGATTTTCCATAACGTCGTCGGACCCCCCATGCCCTTGCCAGGACACCTGGGCGGGCCAGGCGAGGGGCTGGTGGCAGCACCGAGACCGCCCCCTTACTCTGGATGGTTGGCAACTCCCACAGGTCACCACTGTCATGGGGTTGCCATGGTCGTAGCTGTCCTAGTTCCTGTGTCATGTTTCGTTGCTTCGATCGCAATATATATATATATACCCTAGGCTTCCAACAACCATTAATTTAAGAGGCTGACATCCCGAACCCACTCAGGATTTTACACAAGAACCAGGTCGTTCCCATTTTTTAATAGTCAGACGAAAGTCTAGGGACTATACCTTGCCCTTTTGAAGCTTTCCACCAAGATCCTGGGAGGGCGAAGCACCCCCGTTGCTTCCTTGTCGGAAGGGCGGGAAGCGCCGGGGAGAAGCCGCGGGGAGGTGTTCCGATGTTTTTTCAGCTGTGACACCTTTCAGAGGAGAAAACACATTTCAAAGCAGATCTTGAATCAACGTGTCAATTGACCTACCTCGTGGATGCAGTCATTGACATAATTGCAGTTGTGACTTCGAGAGGGTTCTTCAGCTGCAAACACCAAAGAAGCGCGCTAGGCCCAGCTGAACCCCCCTAACTTCCCAAGAACACCCAGAGAAGGGCCCAGCTGAGCCACCCCGAAGTCCCTGTACCGCTGTACCGCACCGCGCACCGCGCAGCTGTACCGGGCCCCGGAGGCGCCCGGCAGCGGCGGGAGAACTCGGATGCCTCGGTCTCCAGCGTCTCGGGGTGCACTGAGGCGGTGGGTGCCGGGGGGCACTGAGGCGGTGCCGCACGAGGTGAGAAGAAGCCACTGAAGATGTTTTTAAGGAAAAAGCCTCCAGCTTGGAATTGAGGGAGGGCATGAGGAAACGTGTGTTTTGTTGAGGATTTGGTTCTGAGGTGCGGGGAAGTAAGGCGTGCCAGACTTACGCTGAGTTTGCTCCAATTTTTGTGTTTTTTGTTGAGGGGGGGAACTCGAGGTAACCTGAAGCCAAGATGTGGTTGCTTGAGCTTGAAGGCTTAAAGGCGGAATGTTCATGAAGTTTATGAATGTACTTGAAAGTCATTCATGCAACATGAATCCAAGTACTTCTCCATCCTTTGGACCATCTCTGGACTCTGGACGCGAAGCTCCACGAAGCTCGTCTGAGCCACGTGTCTTGTCTTTCTGGGTCGGCCAGTCTGTCAGACCGCCTACACCCGGGAAGACTAACATGGAACCTGACAATTGACCTTTGGAAGGCTATTTTCCTCTACAACCCAGTGTTTTTCAGGTCCCACGTTAATTTTCCGGAGTGTAATGGTTCTTCTTCTTCTTTCCATCCACCTCCAGGGTGGTGCATCATGTGGGACCGCCTACGGTTCGGTGAACGATCCTTCCTCTATGGAAGACACGGATCCATGTTTCCTCGGACAGCGAAAACCCTTTTGATGTCGAAGACAGGGTGATTCAGACGGGTCCGAACACGGGGTGATGGTCGGACAGGATGCAGGTCGGACAGGGTGGGGAAACCACTTCCACTGTCAACCAGGGTGGCCATGATGTGTTCGTCGAAGGGTAGGGCCTCTCCCCATGACCCGACGAAGGCCATCACCGCAGCTGCCATGGACCCGACGCAGGGACCGCCGCCGAGGTGGTAGCCACGCTGGGAGCCATGCCACGCGGTGGAGCAGCCGACGTCAGAGTGGGACCAGGTGGGGGAAGTGAACAAAACAGGGGGAAGCTGAGGAGTGAAAACCATGGGAGGTTCTAGCGTTTCAATCGCATTTTCGACGGATTTTCGAGTGATTTCGAGTAACGAATCCCTGCCCGGTTTTTGTATGACCCCTGCCTGGTTTTTTGTAGGACATTGGGGGGGGTCTAAGGTGGGAGTCATGTTTTGGTTGGTTTCCGATCGATTTTGGGCAGCCGAGATCCCGAGAGGTAAAAGAGACGCAGCGGCAGCAGACCGGTCTTGCGGTTGTGACGGTGAGTGACTGGGTGCCAGGAGAGTGACCATATCGGATAAGGGCATGGCGGCGGGGCGAAGTGTTCCAGACGAGAAAAGAGGTGAACATGGGGAACTCTGAAAGCATCTTTCGACATTTTTCGGCACGCTTCGGTGGTTCGGGCCTGGTAGGTCTTCTGGGGCTAGTGTATACGGTTGCTTGGAAGCTCAAGATGCGAGTTTCTTGGAGTTCTTAACGAGAAACGTCTCTTCAAGATCAGGGAGACACCACGGTTCATGAATGTGCATACCACTCATCACCAGGCACCACTCGGATCATAGAGTGATCCCTAAATGTATATAGTCTGTATATTGTCACTGAATGCAAAGGTTTATTGAAGAATTACACACCAGGAGTCACAAAAGGGGTGCCCAGAACATCCACTCACTGGATGGGACTAAAGGCCACCCCGACATGTGACTCCTGGAGGATGACCTCTTGTAGAACTGGATTTTTTCCAACCATACCGCCGGCCGCCTGCGGAATCTGCGGATCCGGCCAACGCGGGCAGGCGGTCGATCGGCAACTTGTTCCCCCTCACAGGCGCCATCGCCGGAACAGCGGCGAAGGGTGAAAGGGGCTGGATGTGGAGCTGAGAGGGGTGAGAGTGAGGCCATGTGAGGCCCTTTCCAGCTTTTTACACCATTTTTAATTACATGTCCCTTCGACAGGCCATGTGCCCGTCTGGAGGGCTTTTCCGCGCTTTCTACCGTCGTCAGGTGCTGGCACCGCCAAGCATATGCTCCACGTGGCCAATCAGATCTCCGCTAAGGTGAACCAACTGCCTCTCGGACCGAAAG